CATAAACAAAAAAAGAACCCCCCCCCCCCCACCCACTTCTAAAGAATTTATTAATCTTAGTTGATGTTAATTTCAACATTTACCAAAACTTGGTCAATTTGTATCTGTTAATATTATTTACTGGACCTGAGCCAACATGAACTAACAATGAACAGTTGTGTTTTTATCAACTAACTTTAACAAAGATTAACAAATACCAAAACAAATGTATTAGTTAATGCATTGACTAATGTTATAGAATGGAACCTTGTTAAGTGTTACCCTATGCTCTTTAGACTAATATGTACTCCATTTTTGCTGTTAACTATTCCAGTTTTACTAGTAAATATTCATTTGGTAGTCCTACTCATTTCCCTGTTATTGTTAAAGGGGTAGTTCACCCAAAAATGAAAATTCGGTGTTTATCTGCTTACCCCCAGGGCATCCAAGATGTAGGTGACTTTGTTTCTTCAGTAGAACACAAACGAAGGTTTTTTACTCAAACAGTTGCAGTCTGTCAGTCATATAATGGAAGTGAATGGGAATCACGGCTTTGAGAGTAAAAAAAAACATACACAAACAAAACCAAATTAAACCCTGTGGCTCGTGACGATACATTGATGTGTAAAGACATGAAACGATTGGTCTGTGCAAGAAACTGAACAGTATTTATATCATTTTTTTTCCTCTGATGCACCGCAATGTCTTAACTGTCCTGAGCGCATTCTCAACAGCCGGTGCGTGACGCGTTGTCTTCTTGCTTTACGGTGGATCGCAGACTTATAAGTGCATTACTGCTAGTGATCGACCGATATAGATTTTTTTTTATAGCCGATACCGATTATTTGCATGTTTATGTGCCCGATAACCGATAAGCAGAACCGATATTTATTTACGGTTATAAAGTAAATAAATGACTGAGTGAAGTAAGTCCATACTTCACTTTGGTTTTTCCTCCTTTCAGTCATCTTTAAAAAAAAGTGTTGAAAATTAGCAGTCTTGCATGTTAAATTTAATCTTCATATTACAATAAAACATTTTATTTATAAAAAGCATCAGCAGCAACACTAATAAGCAAAATAAATGTCTAATGTTTTCAAATGGAGAAAATAAAAAGGACAGGAGTCATCTTCATTTTAAACTACAGTTTTAGTAGGTTTAGAAGCTGTTTAATAGGCTAAAGAGTGAAGAATAATTCACTGGATAAAGTTAATTCACTGAATAATATTCTCTGGAATATTGGAATATAACAAACAAAACATTGTATTTTATTGCATTTCTCAACTGGTATGTTATATCAGAATTACTAATGTTTTTGTCGTTCTAGATTATGAAATGCGTGCTGACAAGTGCTGTTTATCTATGCATTTATACAGAACTATACTCAAACTGCGATCGCTCGCGGAGATAATAATTAATTTCCATAGAGTTGTATTTATTTAGATGTATATTAGCGAAATAATGGTTATATAGTAAATGTTAATATAATTTAGGGTGTTTTAAACAAGTGAATCTTGTTAAAAGTTACATGCGGTGGCCGTGCTGGAGCATTTCCTGAGCATCAACCTGTGTCCTGTGAGTGAACAGCAAAATGTAGACGCCTTCACGAGACTAATGATGAGCATAGACAACAGAGAGAGAATTAAATTCAGCGCTTTTATTTCCAACATGCGCTCATTCATGGCTGTATATTATTTAATTCAGGCAAAGTTACGTCTTTATTGGGACAGGACTTGACGGATTATCTTACGTGACTCGTCTCTATTTCTTCGAGACAAGCTGCATAAACTAGCTACATTTCAGGCATTTATGTAACATCTAATATGTGCATTATTGGCTTTTATGAAGTTTACTAATTACAGCAAAGCAAGTGCGTATGCTTTACCAATGCACGCTGTTGTTGTCAAGATAGCGGCGTTTATCGGTGAATCTGATATTACAAAACTGATAACCGATTATGGTAAAATGTTTAAATATCGGGTAAATCGATATATTGGTCGATCTCTAATTACCGCCACCTATATCTCAAATGGACCATTGACACTCCTAATTGAGATTGTAGATAGAGTGTCACTGGTCCATTTGAGAGATAGGTGGCGGTAATGCACTTAAGTCCACCGTAAAGCAAGAAGTAGACGCGTGGGCTGTTGAGAACACGCTCAGGACAGTTCAGACTTTGCGCTGAATCAGAGGTAAAACTATATAAATACTGTTCAGTTTCTTGCACATACCGTTCGTTTCGTGTCTTTACACATCAATGTATCGTCACGAGCCGCAGGGTTTAATTTGGGTTTGTTTGAGTATGTCTATTTGACTCTCGAAGCCTTGATTCACATTCACGTCCATTATATGACTGACAGACTGCAACTCTTTGAGTTAAAAATCTTCATTTGTGTTCTACTGAAGAAACAAAGTCACCTACATCTTGTATGCCCTGCGGGTAAGCAGATAAACATCAAAGTT